TTTTCCTTTTTGATTTTTTTCTAAATTCATCCGTTGTTAATATACTTTTCTATTACCACTGAAGTAATTGCTGATGGCGAAGTTTCTGAAAAAAAAAATTTGGAAATGTTTTTCTTTTTCTCTTCAGAACTTTGCGACAAATGGAGCAAACTCACGAGGAATGCCGCTTGGTGGGACTTTCGGCAACCCTACCCAATTATCACGATGTTGGAACATTTTTGCGTGTCAAGCCATCAAATCTGTTCTTCTTTGACAACAGCTTTCGGCCAGTACCCCTGGAACAACAGTACATTGGTATAACGGAGAAAAAAGCACTGAAGAGATACCAGGCAATGAATGATGTGGTCTACGACAAAGTAATGGAACATGCGGGAAAAAGCCAGGTACGAAAATCAGCTTTCTTCTGCCCCAGTGATATTGGTTGATAAGGCTTTTGGCATCTTTTTTAACGTAAAAATTCGTTTGCTTTCATAGGGATTGAAGTTTTTTGAGAATTTCAACGATTTTGCTTTTAATGAGGTTCTTTTGGCATGGAATTATAAATGATTTTGTGATACGGGCTGATTTATTTTAACCGCGCGCCCTTCTCTGATAGAAAATAACAAGACGATAAAAAAAAAAAGGGTTTATTTTTGGCCAGCAAGAAACTTTCGCGGGGATATAAGTGAGAACCACTCATACCTGGGAAATGAATTTGAAATGTTTGAGTTCCACGTGGACGTGGAACATTCCTTTAAAATTTCAGCTTTCCAGCTTTTCTGGTTCCCGAGTTAGCGATTTTTCCGCCAAAGATACTTTCTGTTCGTTGGTGCACTATCTAAAGGGAACGGTGGATAATTGTGACGGTGGAGATCCGGAATAGTGAATTTACCAGTATTTACCTTTGCTGCTTAGTCCATTTGAATCTGAAATTTAAAGTCATAGATTGCCAGATAAGACAAATTAAGCGTTTCTCTGAGCCAGTGAAAAAATGAGGTGACGCTACTCAGTTTTTGCATTTTTCTTGTATTAGTTGAAAAATTTTTAACACCAAAGAGGAGTAAATGCAGTTGCGTTTCGAAAATCCATCTGCATTCCGATGTGAATGATGCAGTAGGACGCTAATACATAAACGAGTTATGGTAGGAAAGGGACCGAAAACGAATGAAAATTATTGGGGAGACATTTGGGGGCGGGTTGGAGGATGGGGAAAAGGAGGGGAGGAGGAATAATCAGCATAGTTTTAAGATAATGGTTTGCGCTGTTCAGTTTAAAAGTTTTGCGAAAATCCAAAAGTTTAAAAAAAAAACCGCTCTGCAAGAGTTTAAATAAACTTAAAAAACACATGCGGAATCACAGGGGATTTCACTTGACGCTGTAAAATATTCAAATTTCTAAGCCGTCAGTTTGACAAAAGCACACAGTTTAGGATGGATAAGTCAGAAATAGACGATGCGG